AGCGGTTCAAGCCAAGAAACTGGTGCTCTTTGTTTTAAAGATAAAGCTTCCAGAAATTTAAATGAAGGCTAAAGTCTTTAAAGCATTGTTTTGGGAGGAAAACCATTGCCTGCCTGTAATTTAAGAGCTGGAATGTTTAAGTCAGTTCCTGCAAATGATTTCCAGAAGGTGAATAAAATGGTTATCTGCTGTGACTTCTAAATCTTTTCTACAACATTTCCTTCCTTCCTTCCTTCCTTCCCTTCGTTTGAAAAAACTTTTTGTCTTCACCCCATTCCTAAACTTTTTGGCTTCCTTTCCGTTTTCTTCCTTTTCTAAATTTCTCCAGTATATCCTCTTGCTAAAAAATATTGCCTGTTTTTTGTTTGTGTTTGCAACTTTCAGGGCAATCTCCTCTATAAACTATTCCATCAGGATGACTTTTCAGTTTAATCTTTTACCCACTTCTTTTAGGTGGATGCAATTATAACCGTTAATTTAGGGATGTGCAGCCGTTGCAGGAGGCCAAAAGCACTTCTAGCTTTTGAGCTGCACTCCCATAGGAGGACTAAGTCAGAACAAAAATCAAATCGAAACTCAGTCTGGCTTTAAAATCAAATTAATCCCAACCTCTTTCCCAACATCAGGCTCTTTTCCAAGGAGTTCTCTCTTCTCATTAGGTGGCCAAAGTATACTGCTCAAAAAAATAAAGGGAACACAATACGTTTTGTGTTCCCTTTATTTTTGTGAGCAGTATATTTAAGCTTCAGCTTCAGTAGTTGCCCTTCCAAAGAGCAGCCAGGATTGATTTCCTTGAGGAAATTCTTCCAAAAAGCCCTTTCCAACATGGTGTCTTTATTTCATGTGTGGAGTGAAAGTCCACACATCTGGAAGGCTTGACGGTGAGAAAAGCTGTCCAAACTGCTTACAGTTACAGAAGAGAGCGGTGTAACGTCTCAATCCCTTGAATCGGAAACCCTTCCATGTGATGACAGGTGGTTGGAAGCTTCTTGGAAAAACCCTTCTGCAAAACCTGTCTGTGAGCATTACGAAAGCTTGGCTGCCTTTCCCAAGTGCAAGTTCCCACTTCAAATGGGCCCAGAGTTTAGAGGTGCTTTTGGGTTTCTTTGTGTTTTTTCCTTCCCATCCTGCTGGAGTGCGTAACAAATCATTATAGCCGTAAAGGAGAGAACAGGGAAAAAAAAAAAGGCTTGGCAAACTTGATGGTGCTTCTTTGTTTCTCATTAAATGAAAATGATTCTTCTAAATGAGCAAAGGGGAACTAATCAGTCCTTAACATAAACTGGTTTTGAAAGCCAGTTTGGTCTTAGTGGTTAAGGCACCAGGCTAAAAATCAGGAGACCGTGAGTTCTAATCCTGCCTTGTCCTGAAAGCTGGCTGGGTGACTTTGGGCCATTCTCTGTCTCTCAGCTCAACCACCTTAGGGGGAGAAAGAAAGAAAGAGAGAGAGAGAGAAAGAAAGAGAGAGAGAAAGAGAAAAAGAAAGAGAAAGAGAAAAAAGAAAAAGCGAAAGAAAGAGAAAGAGAGAAAGAAAAAGCGAAAGAGAAAAAGAGAAAAAGAGAGAGAAAGAAAAAGCGAAAGAAAGAGAAAAAGAGAGAAAGAAAAAGCAAAAGAAAGAAAAAAGAAAGAGAAAGAAAAAGCGAAAGAGAGAAAGAAAAAGCAAAAGAAAGAAAAAAGAGAGAAAGAGAGAGAAAGATAAAAAGAGAGAAAGAGAAAGAAAAAGAGAAAGAAAGAGAAAGAAAGAAAAAGCGAAAGAGAAAAAGAGAAAAAGAAAAAGCGAAAGAGAGAGAAAGAAAAAGCAAAAGAAAAAAGAGAGAGAGAGAAAGAGAAAAAGAGAGAAAGAGAAAGAAAAAGCGAAAGAGAAAGAGAAAGAAAAAGCGAAAGAGAAAGAGAAAAAAGAGAGAAAGAAAAAGCGAAAGAAAGAGAAAAAGAGAGAAAGAAAAAGCAAAAGAAAGAAAAAAAAGAAAGAAAGCTGCATGGCATTGATGTTTACAGAATAGAATACAGAATCTCATACTTGGAAAAGATGTTAGAGGTCTTCTAGCCCAACCTAACCCTATTCCATTTCAGACAAATGGTTGTCTAGTCTCTTTTTAAAAACCTCCAGTGATGGAGCACCCACAGCTTCTGGAGGCAAGCCGTTCCACTGATTAACTGTTCTCAGAGTCAGGAAATTTTTCCTTAGTTTTAGATTGCTTCTCTGCTTGACTAATTTAGATTGAATGCATATTATTAAGACAGAACAGATACCAGCGGTTCTTCACAAGCATCTCATCAGAGACTTGGCTTCCCTTTTGCTCACATCAAATAAGTTGGAGGAAAAATAGGAATAAGGACGAGGGAGTACCTATTTTTTGTTTCGTTGTTGCAAAATTAGAGTTCTTATCTTCCCTGTTTACTTGTATTAGATTGCTTCAAAAACTGGTCATTTTGAGGATGACCTCCAAAACAGGATGTATCACATAAGGTCTCTTTAGGATAAAAGGATGTTGGATGCTTACATTCGTCAGGCCCTGAGATATCACATTTTAGAAGACCCTTCTAAATTTGGGACTGTTGGGAAGTCTCCCTATAGCGTAGACAAGAATTAAGACATAGGTTCCTTCTGCTCTTGGGTTCACAGGCTAAATGTATTGAAGCGTGGTGTGTGTTTATTTGCGCGTCCATGTGATATGAGTATGATAGGGTAAAAGTGATTACATTTGTGGCCATCTTTAGTTGCAGTCCCAGAAAAGAGGTCTTTTTTTGTCAAATTGTGGAATTTGAAATTAAGAAATATTCACCCTGTATAAGGAGAGCTAAATACTATTGAATGCAAATCAGTTGCAACTCAAGACTTATCACTGCAAATACATTTCTACCCTCCATGACAAAAGAATTAGCTGGCTGGCATATATTTGTGAGCCGGATATAACAAACCACAACTCAACCACAAGACTATGCTGTAGTCTTTTCCTTTGTTAGAACCTTATTGTTTTATTTCTTACTTTCTTAAGATAACGATGTCCATATTACACTCAGTATACTTACCATTTAGGGATGTAACGTTCACAAAAGTCTCTTTTTTAAAAAAGTGCTTATTTACATACTCATTGCAGATAAGAAACCTGCCCCTATATGAGCTTCGTATTTCTTTGTGAATGACCAGTTATATTTGCAATTGTATTTGTCTCTGGGAGAAAAAATATGGGAACCTTCTCAGTGAACTTCGATTTACCTTTGTTTATGAGGAAATGACTCAGTTTTTCCCCATATTTAAGAGAGTTACGCTTGAAACCAGAGCTGTTAAAGCTTTGTTTAAACAAACCAAATATGACATGTAAGTCTCTTGACCTTGGATGTTGGACAGCCTAATGACGTTTGTGGGAGGGTCTGAGAAATATCACATGGAAAAATCCTTTGGAGAGTGACTCGTTTTAGAAAGCTTGTATCGGGGAGGGATAATCTTTGAATCGCCCCCTTTTTAAAAACAAGGAACTATCTCGTTCCAGAAGGAAAGTAGAGCAATGTCTCTTTACTCACTTTCTCTCTCTGAATCCCAGGAGAACATGCAGTTTTCCATCCATAGTTGAGGAAGAGAAATACCAAAAGATATCGGCAAATATGTAGATTTGTTCTGTACAGGTAGTCCTTGACTCACGACCACAATTGACCCCAAAATTCCGATTGCTAAGCAAGACAATTGTTACGTGAGTTTTGCCCCGTTTTATGACGTTTTGTGCCACAGAGTGGTTAAATAAGTCTGGCTTTCCCCATTGACTTGGCTTGTCAGAGGATCACAAAAAGTGATCACATGATCCCGGGACACTGCACCCGTCATAAATATGAACCAGTTGCCAACTGTCTTGACTTGAGAGCCGCAGTAACGCAAGTGGTTAGAGTGCAGTAATGCAGGCTAACTCTGCCCACAGCCCAGAGTTTGATCCTGACCGGCTGAAGGTTGATTCAGCCTTCCATCCTTCACAGGGTCAGTAAAATGAAGATCCAGATTGTTGGGGAGAATATGCTGACGTTGTAAACTACCCAGAATGCTGTAAAGCAGGGGTTCCCAACCTCCAGTCCGTGGACCAGTACCAAGCCACGGCATGCCAGCAGTCGTTCTGCACAAACAAGCAAAGCCCCATCTGTGAGATGCAGGCAGCACACAAAACCACATACTCTCTGGTCTGCAGAAAAACCTCTCTCCACGGAACCGGTCCCTGGTGCCCAAAAGCTTAGGGATCTCTGCTTTAAAGTACTATGCAGTGTTATATAAGTCTAAGTGCTATTGTTATTTTATTCACATGACCATGGGGATGCTGCAACGATTGCAAGGGTGAAAAACAATCATAAGTCATTCTTTTTTCAGTGCCATTATAATTTTGGCCATTAAATAAAGTGAGTGGAGGACTACCTGTATAGATTTTTGTTCTTGTCTTAACCTTAAAGTTACACTCCAAGGGATGATTCAGGAAAGAGTTTCGGTATCGTGTGCTATAAAAAGCAGGTTGCTTTTCAAAATCCTTGGTCTCGCCCATGGTGAAACTGGCCTTTAAAAATAGGTGGGTTTATTTTTCATGATTTGGTGACATTGTAGAACATTGGTTCTCAACCTGTGGATCGGGGCCCCATTTGGGGTCAAACGACCATTTCACGGGGGTCGCCAAACAACGCAGTCCGCCATTTTTTCCCCCTTTTCCTCAGCTGTGCTACTCCCTTTTATTCTATTGGCTTTTGAAAGCCAATAGAATAGACTCTCTTGAATAGAGTCTAATTCTATTGGCTTTTCAAAGCCAATAGGAATTGTCCAGGCTATCTCTGCCCTGCTGAGTCCGCCAAAAGTCCCATTCTGCAAACGGTGCTGCACCAGTTGAGTAGTCCTCGACTTACGACTGGTTGAGTAGTCCTCGACTTACGACCGGTTGGGGGTCGCGGCATTAAAAAGGTTGAGAACCACTGTTGTAGAACAAATGGTACCTGATCTTGTCATTTACTGGTTGGATGTTTTTTGTTTTTTGCAGGTGACTCCTCAAGATGGTAGACTACCTGGCTAACACCGAGATCAACAGTCAACGGATTGCCGCGGTGGAAAACTGCTTTGGGACATCTGGCCAGCCCTTAGCTGTGCCGGGAAGGGTCCTTTTGGGTGAAGGGATTTTGACCAAGGAATGCCGTAAGAAAGCCAAGCCCCGAATTTTCTTCCTTTTCAATGATATCCTGGTGTACGGCAGCATTGTCATCAACAAACGGAAGTACAGCTGCCAACACATCATCCCGCTGGATGAAGTCACGCTGGAGATTCTGCCGGACACCTTGCAAATGAAGAACCGATGGATGATCAAGACCTCCAAGAAGTCCTTTGTGGTTTCAGCAGCCTCGCTGACGGAGCGCAAAGAGTGGGTCAGTCACCTGGAAGAATGCATCCGCCATCTTTTGTCCAAAACGGGACAGCAGCCCCCAACCGAATATGCAGCCCCTTGGATTCCGGATAAGGCAACTGATATCTGCATGCGTTGCACCCATACCAAGTTCTCGGCACTCATCCGAAGACACCACTGTCGAAAGTGTGGCTTTGTGGTGTGTGGAGACTGTTCCCGCCAGCGTTTTCTCATGCCTCGTCTGTCCTCCAAGCCATTGAGGGTTTGCAATTTTTGCTACAAGCAGCTGATGGCCAAAAAGAAGGAATCTGGAGACGAGGCAAAGCCAGTTCATTCTTCTCTGCCTGGCTATGAAGTTTCTAGTGGAGATGACAGCGACAGGTCCGATGAAGAGAAACTCGAACAGTGGCCTGCCGAGACAGAATTTTACACCTCGGATGTGAGCTGGTCATCTTTCCACAGTTGATTGCTCCATGGACTTCTTCTCTTTAAAGGCTGTCGTCGTTTGGAAAATGACAGAGAAGACTGGGTCTTTAAGGGACTGGTGAGAGGACTAACTTTATATTCCATCAGTTTTTTGTTTTATGAATAACGGAGAAGAACTATCCTCAAGCCAATGCATCAACTTTTAATTGGGTCCTCCAAGACCCAGTCATTCTTCTTGAAGCTCCAAATCGGATTAAAATATATTGGTGTGTTTTCAGAAAATGATGGTTCTTTGTGTTTAATTTTGAAGATAGTCAGCACTCATCAAATGTTGGATTTCCATCTTGAGAATTCAACAAAATATCCCCAAGTTGGGTCTATTGAAGAAACCCAGTTTTTATAAAACTAAAACCTAAAACACGAGTTCTGGAAATCCAGAAATCAAAACGATAATTTCCAGAAGGTCACCCAGCCTTGAAAATGGAGGGCACTTCTTATGAAGCACTAAATGGAAGTTATTTGATGAAATTTACAATAGTATTACATTTCAAAAGCTGAGCTGTGTATTTAATTTTTTTAGTTCAACTTGAGAACAAGAAGAATTAAAAACTGACATTGCTTTGACTGCTTTTAAGTTAATTTTAAAAAAGTTTGGGGAACTGGCTGTAGATATTTGGGGTCCTTTTCTAGTTTGATGTTCATACAATCTATGACACTGTGATTTATTTAATGCATTTTTCGCTTGAAGTGTTATTAAACTCAACCAGTAAACCAAAGCTTAATGCAATTTAGGAATACAACTAGTGACTTGTTTGTGATAAGCAGGGAATTTTGATAACTAGTGATCCTTTATCACACAAAGCAGATGTGTCTTAGAACACTAAAATAGAAGTCGGATAAACAGAAAAGTGATTTGTAGGCAGTATTGAATTATATTTATGGGAAAGAGCCAATTATTTTTAATAAGATCAACATAAATTATGTCTTTAACATGTGCTACTTCCTGATAGAATAGTACCATTATAACTTAATAGAGTTGTCTTTTTTTAAAAAAAAAATATATATATACATGCTGCAGATATGGACTTCAGTATTAAGAGATTATTATTGTATGAGTTTGCTTGTAATTTTGCTGATCAGCTGAAAGCACTTTTGTCTTTCCAAATGGCATACAAATATCAGATAGGCAAAATGAAACAAAAAATAGCTTTGACCACCTAAAGCAGGAATGGGGAACTATGGCATCTTTATGACCAGTGGAGTTCAACTCCCAGAATTCCTGAGCCATCCATGTTCAGGAATCAATCAAATAAATAAATAAATGCACAGACAGATAGACAGACAAAACTCTGGAGTTGAAGTCCACAGATCCTAAAGGTGGGCAACAAGAACTTCTGCAGCATAAGAACTTTACTAGCCAAGAATTAAATCCCCAGATCACCTCCAGCATGTTGACAGAATGGAAATAATTTTCTCGTAGCGGATCCTTGCATGCTCCAATTCCCTAAAGCAGCCTTTCCATCGAGATACCCTTCAAATATCTTGGTCTTCCATCCCCTAATTGTCACCCTACTTTACCAACAGGCTGCTTGAACTGTTGGGAGGTGTTTCCAATCATAAGCCAAGAATCCTGAAGATAAATTAAAAACAGGCCATCCGTCTTTTTTCTGATGTCGAAATATGTTTTTTTCCCCAATTAAGTCCATAAAAAAAAAAACAATAAAATTTGAATGTGGAACAGAACATCCTGTTCCAATTGCAACAGAATTAAATGAATTCAACAATGCTTCTGGGGTTTTGCTTCTTAACCTCCCATCCAGAGCTGAAGAAGCTTTTTGGATGAGAAGTGAAACTTTTCAAAATCATCGTCGTCATCATCATCATCATGATAGCCCAGTTGCCTTTTGGCAAAAAGCACATTTGGGATGTTCCTAGGATGGTGGCAGGCCAACGTATAAAACTTGGCCATGCGCCCCTTTTGCAAGATTGGGCACGCCCTTATTTAATGCAAGATACCATTGCATCTCTTGGAAACTTAATCAGCTGTATGTATTTTGCAATGCTGCTTTTTTAGGTGCCACCCTGTGGCAAACCTAGTGGCTATTTCTTGCTGTGTCAAAGACAAATGCATTGATGATCCATTCTGTTTACACTCGCAAGTAAGCAAATCATAGCAAAAGAGCAACACAATTAAAATGAGCATCAGCAAAAACAAAACAAGACAAGACTCTCTGAAAACGCGGCTTCCACAGAACAAAAACAAAAACCGGAAATCAGCTCTTGAGTTTAAAGGCTGAAACTACTGACGAAGTGAGGCAGGCCTATGCACAACTTAGCAGCAATCAGATCAATCATGCAGCTAGCAACATTGCACACAGCCTGCTAAGATGGGGGAAAAGTTTTTTTCCTTTGGTGTTGTTTGAGACTCTGGGTTTAAACGATTTGAATGTATTCAGCAAAACCAAAAATGAATTAATTTAGCAATTGGGTTAAAGATGTGCGGAAGTAATTTCGTGACTGGTGAAAGATAACCGGTAATTAACTTTAAAGAAATATTTTTTTAAAAAAAAAAAATAATTATGGTCTTTAATTTAAGACAGAATGGCAGAGCTGCCCCATCCCCAAACAGCTTGTCGTCTTGACTGTCTCTCCACAATTCTTCTTTCAAAAATGGTAGATTTGATTTTATGGACCTGCAGAAGATCAGCTGCCCAGCTGTCCAACTGAATCATGGTTTTGAATTGCTTGTGCTACGCTGCCTCACAAGGAAGACTGTGACATTTAGGCACTGGTGCATTTTTCACAAAAACAGATTAGGGTACAGGTACGTCCTCAACTTAACCAGTATTAGTTGAGCGACTGTTCAAAATCACAACAGCGCTGAAAAAAGTGACTTACAAGTCGTCCTCGCACTTACGACCATCGCAGTATCCCTGCAGTCATGTGATCATGATTCAGGCACTTGGCAACCGGTGTGTATTTATGACGATTGCCGCATCACAAGATCACAGGATTGCCATTTATGAGGTTCCCAGCTAACTTCTGGCAAGGAAAGTCAATGGAGAAAGCTGGGTTGCTTAACAACTGTGCTGATTCATTTAAGGTCATAAAATCAGGCATTATTCACTTAACAGTCACCTTGCTTGGCCATGGGCGTTCTGGTCTCAACTGTGGTTTGTAAGTCGAGGACTATCCTGTTTTCTCATTCCTAAAAGATCTGGGTGAGAAAACTAGTGATAATCCATAGATTGGCCAGAAGTGGCCAGTTGCATTCCACTGCCTTAAAGGTTCCTCTTGTATCTCAGTCTAAGTTTCATTAAGTTTTTCATCAATGGCTTACATATTTGGGCTAAACTGCTGCTGCTGCTGTTAACAAATCTAAAGAGCCCTCTTGTGCATCTTATTAGCCATTACACTAAGTTCAATTCAGTGAGCACTCTGCCCATCACTGCATCTTGTTATCACCAATTGGCGTGTCTGAAAGCCACAATCCAAACAAACCTTTGGAAAAAGCGAAGTTGGAAGACGTGGTTCTTTTTCATAAACTAAGTAGCCAAATTAATAAATGTGAGGAGAGGTTGGAGGTTACTGGGGCATCCAATGAAGCAGACAGAAGCATCCCCCCCATTCTGCCAATGAAAGGTTCAGCTTCGCTCTGTCCCACCTAAAGCCCCAGGTTCCTGGCTTGGCAGCCCAGACGTTCGATAGCTTAAAGTTGTGTAACTATAATTGCCTATCTTTAGATAAGATGACATTTGGAAGTTTGGGAGCATGACAGACATATGGCCTTGACCAAACACAAATAACAATCTAGCAGAAGGCGAGCAAATGAGGGTGCTGTTTATTATCCTCAGATGTTTATGGGGTACTATATAATTGCTGAAAATGATCAGTTGGTCTGTTCACCTATCCTTCTCTAAGAGCGAAGGCAGTGTATGCTTGGTTGAGCCTAAATTTGTTCTCAACATGACAACTATGGAAGGATTGAGAACAGTGGAACAGAATGCTAGAATAGGAACTAGGATATGTGGACTACTTCAACACTTTCCTGTTGGGTTGAGCAGCCCTAAGTACATCTATTCATAAAAAATACTTTTTAGAAAACTAGGCAGGTTGTGGCAGGAACCTGATGAACCGCAACATATTGGGGATCTACCAGTTGTAAAAAGTTCCTCTTGTCTAACCTATGACCAAGATGAGGAGGAAGAGGAAGAGAAGGAGGTGTGTGCAATATTTGCATAACATTCATAATTTAAATCAAAAGTTGATCTGTCTCACTCTAGTGGGGAAGTTCACTTCAAAGCGATCTACATTCCTATTTGGCTTGCTGTGAAGGTACAATTTCACATGGATTGTTGTTGTTGGTTTCCTAACATGGTTGGCAGACCTTAGCCTTTGGAACACATTTGTGCTTTGGCCAGATTTCCAAAAACCTGTGCAAAAAAAGCCATTTAGAATTCTGAGCAGCTTGACCCTTTCCATAGAAGCCTGCAAGGAATAAATAAAAAATAAAAGAGAAAGGAATATTGGAGAAATGAAATCTAGGGAGTAAGGAGATTTCAGACTAGAATTGGCCAGCCTACTTACTATGGTGGCACAGTGGTTAGAATGCAGTATTGCAGGCTAGTTCTGCTCACAGCCCAGAGTTCAATCCTGACTAGCTTAAGGTTGACCCAGCCTTCTGTCCTTCCAAGGTCAGTAAAATGAGGACCCAGATTGTTGGGGGCTAGATGCTAACTCTGTAAACTGCTCAGTGTGTGTTGTAAAACACCACGAAGCGGTATATAAGACTAATTGCTATTGCTAAATGCTGCTCTGTCTCTTACTTGCCAAGTACTCTCCCAACCCTCACAAACTATATCCAAGAAACACTTAAGATTATTCACAATCCTTAAGAGAAATAAAAGAATCTGGAAGTGATAGCATTCATTCTTCGATTTCTCCTACCCTGAAGAATGTTTATTCAGAACAAAGTCAAATTTAACTCACTGAGTTTAACCCAGAAGAAAAGTTGTAAAATCAACACATGGATTAAGGTTTTGTTGTTCCCTCCCTAAATTAAGAAACATTGACAATACAATGGAAAATAATCAGAAACATAGACTTTGTTGGCTTTTATCTGCTGCAATAAATATGTTACAGTAATAACTGCTGCTCTGTGTACTCCAAACACAAACAACCAAAGGTTACGCCAAAGCAGATAAAGAGGTCCAGGAAAACCAACAATATGTCAGCAAATAAAGATATGTATCAAAAGAGCAGATTCAAAAAGTCTACATGTAAATTTAATTACTCTGTTGAAAGACTGATCCTTAAGAAGTTTCCAAGGCCACTCACCCACTCAATGCAGACTTACAACTTATCTCCTGGTACAATGGTCTCTAAATAAGATAAAGATACACAATTATTAACTTGGTGCAATGCTTGCTCTCCATTGTACAAAGAGAATTGATTGTGAGGGTGAAGGTTTTGATCTCCAGAGCTTGTGGGTTGATTTCTGAATGCCTTGTTACCAGGCTGGGTAACATCTTCAGCAGAGTTCAGGGGATGTAAGCTGATGTAACCTCCCCATCACAAGATCCATCAAAAGCCTCTCACCGATGATTCATACCTGACCCAACACAAGACTCTTACTTGACACACCCACACCTGAAGTCCTTATAAACAAAAGAACACTGACACAAAGACATCCCCTAAACCAGGGTGTCAAGCCCAATCGCATTGCGTATCATGAGTTTTCTACCTTTGCGGTGCTGGGGTGGGTGGGGCCTGTGCGAGCCGCAAGTGGGCCGTGGGCCACGGGTTTGACATATGGGCCCTAAAGTCTGCTGAAGATATTGCTTAGCTTGGTAACGAAACATTCAGAAACCAACCCACAAGCTCGGAGAATGAACCTTCACCCTCATCTTAACCCCGAGCTGCAGATATCCGCCACTATTGCAAAGTCTTGATTGTGCAAATTGCTACCATGCTCCCTTAGTTTGCAGCCTTGAAGTCCTCTTCAAAGCAGCCTTTTACAGGAATTCCCCGGTTCCCAATTTATCTGCAAGGCTGCCACCTCACTTAGGGTTCTCTTAGTCACTTTTCAAAGATTACCTTGTCCCATCATATCTGTCTTTCAGAAGATGTCTCCCCATGCTTATTATGAGATAAGCACTGCGAAGGCAAGTTTTTCATTCCTCGATTTCTATTACAGGTGGTCCTTAACCTATGACCACAGTTGAGCCCAAAATGTCTGTTGCTAAGTGAAACAGTTGTTAAGTGAGCCTTGCCATCTTACGACCTTTCTTGCCACAGTGAAACGCATTTGGCTTCTCCTCATTGACTTTAATAATAATAATGTGGGAAGGGATCTTGAAGGTCATCTAGTCCAACCCCCTACTCAGGCAGGAAACCCTATACCATTTCAGACAAATGGCTGTCCAGTCTCTTCTTAAAAGCTTCCAGTGTTGGAGCATTCACCGCTTCTGGAGGCAGGTTGTTCCACTAGTTAATTGTTCTCACTGTCAGTAATTTTCTCCTTAGTTCTAGGTTGCTTCTCCATTAGTTTCCAACTAATTAATTGCTTGTTGGAAAGTTGCAAAAGGGGATCACGTGACCTAGGACACTGCAACTGTCATAAATATGAGTCCGTTGCCAAGCATCTGAATTTTGATCACATGACCACGGGGATGCTGCAATGGATGTGGGGGAAAATGGTGATAAGTCACTTTTTCAGGGCGGTCGTAACTTGGAATGGTCACTAAATGAACTGTTTTACATCGGTTGAGGACTACCTGTATTTTCACTTGTTAAAAAACAACAACCCCAAACTCTAAAACCTGGATGTTGGACTTTTAATATTCTTTGTTACTCCCAAATCTTTCTTCCTGGTCTCTTCCCATTGAACGTTCTCAACTGAAGGCAGCGTGAATTCAGGAAGGCCAGTTTAGCATCTCTAAAGGAAGGGGAATAATGGGAATACAAACTTGGCCGTTCACACATTAAAATTCAGCTTTATTTGCACTTATCTTCGGGAGAAATACCTAAGATGAAACATCTGCTACATTTTTGGCTCGGAACGATTTCAACTTTTCACTCCTGTACCATCTCAACATTAAGGCAGAAGGAGAAGAAGCACATACCTCTGAGAAATTCCAAAGGGATTTGATGTTGATCATTCTAACGTGGCCAAGAGGACACCACATAGTTCAACCGCAGTGAACCGTTATATGTCAACCACCAGCCTGTCTGTCTTCAGCCAGAGAACATATTTGAATAGGACAATTGATCACAGATCCAACGCCTGCAACTGGGCAGGAAAGGCTGACAACACCTGTTCAGTGTATTCATCTAGAATGATGCACATCAAAGAGCAGCAAATGGTGACATCATCATAGTGCAAACGCCATGACCTATCTCCTTGACTACAATGCAAGGATGCAATGGGGGCACTTTCTTTGATGGAGTCAATGTTACAGAGGCTGCTGCTTAGAAGGTCAGATGAATCAAGAGGTACTTACTCAGCAAGGCACTCCAAATACCACTGTGGGATTTGGGGGTGGCATAAATAGATGTTTAAATAAATACGGTAAACATTGAGGCTCAAACCGATCCAACCTTAGCTATTGAAACAGAGACTAATTATGCCAAAAACCAAAAAACAAACCCACAGCATGGGCAAACCAAAGCTTGCCTTGTTCAGATTATTTTGGGTAAAAATGCACAGTTGCCATCTTGTTATTCCTATTCTTAAGAAATCTAAAATGCCAGACAAAAGTGCCAGAAGGGAACCAAGGGCACTCGGCCCCCTTCAAGACACATCCGAGTCTAGTTTCCATACTGGATTTCCCCTTTGAGCTCTGTAGTGATATAGTTTGTCAGAACTCCAAGCAATTTCTCTTGAAGGGCGCCATTGGACATGACCAAGGCTGTGAGCTGGGCTAGGTCGGTCCAGTCCAGATTCTGAATAATGGCACAGACATTTGTGTAAAGCCGCTGCTGCTCCACAGGGGGCAGTTCCAGGATAATCTGAGGAATGGGCTTGAACTGCCCAGAGGTCATCCAGGCCCCAAGCAAGCCACCAACGGCACCTCCTAGAAAAACAGAACGGACAGACCATCTTTCAACTATCTGGCAAACCATCATTGAATGATAAAAATCACTGGAATATTTGCAGATGGAAGCGGCATGGTTTCTGATACAGACAAGGGATCTGGGATATTTTTAAGTGACATTGTCCTATTATATATCTATTTAGAACAGTGTTCAATGTGGTTTTCACAACTGCAGCAAATTGGAAGATTGTGAACTTCAACTCCCAGGATTCTCCAGTCAGCATAATTGCCAAGATCAAGTAATCCTTATTTAGTATATTAATATATCTTTTATACTTTTTAATACTTCAAATAATAAGTTGATCCATAGCCTTTTATACATTTAAATTCTATATTTTATACCATCTATATCACTCATATTAATATTTGGATTATTGTTTTACTTTATATCCTTTACAATGACTCTGCCCAGATGGACGATTTAGTACCATATTTCCCTGAAAATAAGACTTAACTGGAAAATAAGCCCTAACACATCTTTTGCAGCAAAAATTAATATAAGACCCAGTCTTATTTTCGGGAAAACATTTTCCCTTCTTTAGAAAGCAGGCAGCACAATTTCATTTTTAATGTGGGCCAGTGTGCTCACAGGAAAAAATGACAATAAAGGTTATCCTATCCTATCCTATCCTATCCTCCAGAAGTGGTGAATGCTCCAACACTGGAAGTTTTTAAGAAGAAAATGGACAGCCATCTCTCCGAAATGGTGTAGGGTTTCCTGCCTGAGCAGGGGGTTGGACTAGATGACCTCCAAGATCCCTTCCAACTTTATTATTATTATTATTATTATTATTATTATTATTATTATTATTATTATTATTATTATTATGGATCATCACACAGTCAGCCAGATGTTCAGACTGGATTTGGCATTTTGTCTACCTATCGAGTCCTTACCCAGGACCTGGGATAGGCAGATGTGAATGTTTGATGGTATGACAGGTATCGTCGCAGGATAGAAGCAGTTCCTTGTAAGGCCGCCTTTTGCAATTGACTAATAGCGAATTTGTCAATGCCAATGGTGTTCAAGTAGTGCTCCAGTTGTTTTGGGATTGCACCCAAGGAGCCTATTACTATTGGTACTACCCTTGCTTGCTTTTGCCACAGTCTTTCTATTTCTATTTGTAGGTCTTTGTATTTTGTTATCTTCTCCAGTTCTTTCTCTTCTATTCTGCTATCTCCAGGCACTGCCACGTCCACTATCCAGACTTTTTTGTCTTTCTTATCGACAATTGTTAAGTCTGGGGTGTTATGTTGCAGGTGCTTGTCTGTTTGAATTCTGAAGTCCCAGAGCAGTTTAATTTTATCATTTTCTATGACTTTCTCTATTTTATGATCCCACCAGTTTTTGCTTACAGGCAAATGATATTTTTTGCAGATCTTCCAATGCACCATTGTTGCTACTTTGTCATGCCGCTGCTTGTAGTCAGTCTGTGCAATCTTCTTGCAACAGCTTACCAGGTGGTCCACTGTTTCTTCAGCTTCTTTGCATTATTATTATTATTATTATTATTATTATTACTATTATCCTATCCTATCCTATCCTGAACTGTAAAAAAAATCGATTTGACTTTGGAAAGGGGGTTCAATTTAAACTGTATATACATGCATTCATTTATGTAATTAATCAATGGCTACTTCCTCATCTTCAGTACCTCGCCCCTCCCATCGCATTAAAAGCTACACTTTGGTGGATCCAAGCTTTTGGATGCACTTATACACATATATCTGAAGCATTAATTTACCGACAGCAATGCCAGGTGGGCCTGCCACCAAACCTCCGAAGAAAGCCGTTGCTCCCACCACCAGAGCCCCTCGGCCGGAGTGCTTGAAGGCAGCTTTCATTTGTCGCTCTTCAGAAACATGACACAGGAGCTGCATCACCTCTCTGACGTTGACAGGCATGGTGACTTCTTTGGAGCTGAAACAGTTGTAAAAGAACCTTAATTCAGCTCTCTTTTCTCTCTCACACACACAGAGCTTAGCGCTGCTTGTTTATATCTGTACATGTAATTCACACACAGAGACAATGTGCGCATGCACACACATGCACACATACAGACACTTAATTATCACTAAACAACCCATTTTACCTGTTGGGTCATCATTTCAGAGATATTTCATTGCCTAAACAGAGAAACAGAATAATCAAGGGAAGTGACTTCTAACTTCCAGCTGGCTTCCCCACTGACTTTCTTAATAGGAAGCTGGTAGGGAATCTTGGAAATGAAAATCACAAGACTGTGGCTTACTGCAAGCAGTGCAGCAACAAGGAAGCAGACACAACTTTGTCAAACTTCAATCCCACAGGAGTTATGTCCAGATTTTGCATGCATCCCATAAGTTAAACTATTTGAGGTATGTTGACTGAAAAGAGAAGAGCAACAAAGATGATTAGGGGACTGGAGGCTAAAACATATAAGGAACGGTTGCTGGAATTGGGTAGGTCTAGTTTAACGAAGAGAAGGACGAGGGGGGACATGATAGTAATGTTCTAATATCTCAGGGGCTGCCCCAAAGAAGAGGGAGTCAAGCTGTTCTCCAAAGCCCCTGAAGGCAAGACAAGAAGCAATGGGTGGAAACTAACCAAAGAGAGAAGCAACCTAGAACTAAGGAGAAACTTCCTGACAGTTAGAACAATTAACCAGTGGAACAACCTGCCTCCAGAAGCGGTGAATGCTCCAACATTGGAAGTTTTTAAGAACAGACTGGACAGCCATTTGTCCGAAATGGTATATTGTTTCCTGCCTGAGCAGGGGGTTGGACTAGATGACCTCCAAGGTCCCTTCCAACTTTATCATTATTATTATATTATTAAAAATTGTTGCCCTACGATGCACTATTTCGCCCAACTGAAGGTTATAAACAATCAGACACAAGTGTCTTAATAGTATTTAGATGTTTGTATCTATGATCTGTGTAGTGCTTGAATACCAAAATGATACTGTCTAAACAGTAAAATGTCTCTCCTTCCTTCCTTCACTCCTTTTCCTCTCTCTTTCCCTTTCCCTTTGTGCCCAGAGTATTCTGGGTTTTTCTGTTATGAGTAGCAGGTCTCAGAAGCGCCAAATCAACTACGGAAAGAGTATTTCTAGTAAGGGAAAAAAAAAAAAAAAAAGCCCCAAACATCCAAGATAAAAGATTTTTAAAAAGAAAAACAGAATGCATCATTTCGAGGCCTTCCCCGGAGCCTTAACTACCCTGGCCAACGACAAGGGAACGTGGGAATGGTCGCCCAGCTCCCCAAGGGCAGTTTGGCGAAGTCACCCTTTAAAGCGAGGACTAGCGCCTTGGAATTCAAGACTCCTCTGCAGGTCGGAGAGGAGTGGGTGGGGTGGGAAGCCACCTCCTTCCTTTCTTTCCCTTTCCGGCAAGCCTGCAAGGCCGGCCTCCGTTTCCCCAGCCGCCTCCCCTCGCCCCGCCGCCCGGGACCGCGCTTGGCTTTCCCCGCTCCCTACCTCGGGCCGGGGCCCGTGCAGATCCCGGCGCCGGCGAGGCCGCGGTGGCCGGAGACCTGGAAAGAGGCGGCGGCGGCGGCGACGGACCGAGAAGCGAGCGCCAGGGGCGGACTCTGCCTTGCTGGACCGCCGAGCGTTCCCGGGCCTTTAACCCCTTCCTGGCCGGCAGGGCTTCTGCAGGATGTGGGTGGGGAGGGGGCGATTAATTGGGGCTCCCCTTCCAGGCGGAAAGGTGGGCGGAGGCGGGTGGCAAGCCAGCTGCCCAGCCGCGCCTTCTGGGTCCGCCGCTCTCCCGAAAGCGCAGGCGCCCGGCGCCCAAGCGGCTCCTAATGTCATCCGCGGGGGAGGAGGAGGAGGAGGAGGCGAGGGGTGATGGCACCCGACAACTCTGTGAATGTGTAACGTTCATCCCGGCTCTCGCGACCCCGACAATCACGGGTGCGAGGACCTTTATCCGGCTTCGCGTGACGGTACAGGCCGGCGAGTAAACACATTCCGACCCGGGTTCATGTGACCAGCCGGGAAGAGGAGGAGGAGAAAGCACTCCCTGCTTTAAAAAAAGATGTTGCCCCTCAGATGGTCCGTGCAGGGCCAGAAGACTCTCCACTGTCTTGAGGGCAAATGGGGAATTGCAAGAAAAGAACCCACTATAAACCATCTGAAAGGTCCCTAGGTTGTAACTGGCCAAGGTGGAATGACAGCTTGGATCCTGGTTGACTCTGGCTGGAATTGAAGTCAGTGCAACCTGAAATCTTCCCCCCCCCCCTCTATTTGTCTGTCTGTCTCTCTCTCTCACACACACAAATATATATACACACAGAATCTGATGCAACCAACAAAGCTCCTTGCAGCCGTGATTGCCTGCCTGCCTCTCTGCCTGCCTGTCTCTCTCTCTCTCTCTCTCTCTCTCTCTCTCTCTCTCTCTCTCACACACACACACACACACACACACACACGTACGCACACGCATCCCTACAACCACCTGCACCCTTTCAGACATACTTATTTTATTAAATTCAAGATATTCATGGATTTTGGGGAGGGGCAGATGTTCCCTTCCCTCACTCTGCCTCCATGTCTCCAGCAGCTGGCCTCTTTGAGTGTAATTCTTGATGTCATCGTGGACAAATCCGTGGAGAATGATCCTCTCTTTTGCCTGAGGGTATGTTCAGGGCTGCAAATGTCTGCCTTTGAGATACACTGGAGATACATTTTTATGCGATACATTTTTTATGAACTACAGCTGTAGTTGTGGACTCTTGGTTGTTGTTTTTTTTTTTTTTTGTATTGTTTTGGGTGAACCAAACAGGAAACCAGACCAGATGAACAAAACCTACTTTATTGTTGTTGTTAGTTGCGAAGTCGTGTCTGACCCATCATGACCCCATGGACAACGTTCCTCCAGGCCTTCCTGTCCTCTACCATCTTCTGGACTCCATTTAAGCTCACGCCTTTGCTTCAGTGACTCCTCCAGCCACCTCATCCTCTGTCGTCCCCTTCTTCTCTTGCCCTCCATCTTTCCCAGCATCAGGCTCTTCTCCAGTGAGTCCTTCCTTCTCATTAGCTGGCCAAAGTACTTGAGTTTCAACTTCAGGATCTGGCCTTCTAAAGAGCAGTCGGGGTTGATCTCCTCTAGGACTGACCGGTTGGATCGCTTGTAAGGCTATATTAATAGTCTGAAAGTATAAACTTTCTGCCCCCCCTTTAACTGCTAGATTCATTAGGGTTAGGGTCCTTTTTAGGTTTCTTTCTCTAACCTATACAGAATAAGTTAAGCGACAGTCTGAAGGCTCCTGTCTCTTTTTTCTGACAGTTTCCTAGGGAGGGAAGGAAGGAAAACGGAAGGAAAGAAGGATAAAGAAAGAAAGAAGGAAAAAGAAAGAAAGAAAGAAAGAAAGAGGAAGGAAGGAAGGAAGGAAGGAAGGAAGGAAGGAAGGAAGGAAGGAAGGAAGGAAGGAAGGAAGGAAAGAAATAGAAAGAGGAAAGCCAAATCACACTGGAAAAGCTGTTGCAGAAAAAGAAGACACAATGTCTCAGACATCATTTTTATCACACAAATAGCGCTCTCTTGTGGAAACATTAAAGGCAGCCTTATAACGTATCTGACACAATTTAGAATACTGCAGATATAGTTATACTAATGGCCTGTAATGTACTTCAAATACTAAGGCAGGCCAATAGCAGATCCACAATTATTCAAATAATGAGTTTGGTCCATTGCAATTATAAAAATATTCCTCTGTCTCCCTCTCTCTGTCCCCGGCATTTTTTTTTTTCTGAATGAACTTCACTTTTGAGTATCCAAGCTTGCTAGCTGAAAAATTAGTTGGGTAGATGTCAGGAATGACCAATGCGGGGAACCCAGTTCATTGGTGACCACCCTCTTTTCCTACGTCTTAAATTTCACTCTCTCCTATTTGGCCATGTTTCATGTAGGATCTGAAAGTATTCACCTTCCTTCATTGAGTAGTTTGGGCCTTTCTTAAGAGTAAGTACTGCTGAACTCAACAGTACAGGAACAACTGGTCACTTAGTGACTGTTTGAAGTTATGATAGGCCAGTGGTTCTCAACCTTTCTAATGTCACGACCCCATAATACAGTTCCCCATGTTGTGGTGACCCCCAACCACTTATACATCACCGGGTGCCAGGGGCGTGGCCAAAGAAAAGGGAGAAAAAAAATGGCGGACAGCCTTGTTTGGCGACCCCCATGAAATGGCCGTTCGACCCCAAATGGGGTCCCGACCCACAGGTTGAGAACCACTGTGATAGACCTCTGTGGGGATACTTACAACCCAGATTCAATGTTCCAGTGAGTATAGAAAACAGATTTAAAAAGCATATCAATAAATACTGTGATTGCCTGGCTACTTCTGATACCACAGCCTGAATGCTTTATTAAAAATGTCTTACAAGACTTACAAGTGCTGGTACCGATTCAGACTGCAGACAAGTTTACACCTTTCACTGCATTATGAAAAACTCCCTGCCTGCAGAAGGCTAATCCTTCAGTGATAAACTAGTGCCAAGCTTTTCTCTGTGACTATTCTTTAGGTAAAAAAGTGGTTTAAAAAAAAAATCTGCCTTCTCTCGTAGAATTAATCTCAGAGATCCTTTTACCCTGTTCATACTTGCTCATGTGGGATTACTGGTGACAAGTTTCTCAACAGAAATGTTTTATACCAAGCTGGCAGGCTGAAACATTGCAAAGACACAAATAAATAAGCAGTTCCTTTGCTATCTGTTCAGACAGTAGATGTCTCCCTTTGCTTGCGGCTGTGTGTGTGTGTGTGTGTGTGTGTGTGTGTGATGCACTTCGCCAGGCACACCAGGCAAGCATCAACGGCCAGTATGAATTAGTTTCCTTTTCCAGGCTAACATTCCCGTCATGCTTTGTAGAAAATCCACAAGGGAGAGGAGATAATGTGGAGTACAAGCACTGCAGACAGATCATCATGAAAGCAACAAATTATAACCTTCACTAAAGAGCAACATACACACAAGCATCCTTCGGCTAGCAGGATGGCAAGCCTGGTTCTTGAGTTGCCAGCAGGTTCAAGAGTCTCCTTGGCACAACTTAAGTGATTCCTTTCAATTCAAGATTCTCATGGCAACCTCAAGAGCAACCAAATGGATTACAGGGAATACAAACAGGGAAGAGACGAATAATGCAGGCAAGAGAATAGAGTTACTGTACCGGCAGCAGAGCAAAATGACAAGGGGAATTGCAATGAAAGAGAAGCAAAACGTCGCTGCAAACCTTGGAGGACTCTTGCACATTGTGAAACCTGGCAGAATTTGGGCTTTCTCCGTAGTGACTCTAGTCCTTGAACAATGGGGCTAAAACTCTGTGTGTGTAAGAGTCAGTAGTGTACTAGTAAAAAAAAAAGAGAAAGAAAGAAAGAAAGAAAACACCAAAACAAAACCTCTTATCTAATCATATTGCATGAAAAATCAGGAGGACAAAAGAGCCACAGAGTGCTTTCTCCCAACCCTGGGGAGATATTAAGGATGAATGAAACGCCGTGGATTTGAACGGAATGCGCAGACCTTCGGAACAATAGTTTTCTGGGAGCTAAAAGTGTTCTCCCATCTGCAAAATTCTCTGCGAGTCGAAAAAAATACGCCCTGCATTTAAATAAATGATTGGCATGAGGGCAAAACGTTTTGCTGTATTTGCCTAAGCACCACAAAGCTGTTCCCATTATTGGTCGCATAATCTGGCATCCATGGGAAAAAAAAAAAAGAAGAAGAGGAAGAATAGATTTAGAATCTCTAAGGCTATAAAAGACAGCCAGTTTAGTTCAATAGGTAAAATGCTGAACTAGGAGTGGGAGACCATGAGTTCTAGTCCCACCTTAGGCACAAAACCAGCTGGGTAACCTTAAGCCAATCCCTCTTTCTTAGCCCTAGGAAGAAGAGTAAGGATGCCATGGAGATAGAGAACTGTTGAACAGAAAGCTAAAGCTAAAGGCTTCCCTGTCAATCATTTCTTGGGAACAGTGCTCATTTTTCTCCATCATGCAGCACTTGGATCTCGAACCCCCAGCTGTTCCAGTGGACAAACTCAGCATCTTTAACCACTGAACCGTCATGTCTCCAATGTTGGAAAGAAGCAGCCAAAGTAACCTGAGATGTGGTAAGGATTTCATCCGTAGGTTTTAATACCACCACATGGAATCAATCTGGACCAAAGCCTCTGCACTCAACATAAATCAAGCTTATTTAGCCATACCCATTTGGCAGTGGTTCAATCAGGCTACCCATTCTCATTTTCATTTCTGCCCTGAGTCTATATGTAATTGAAATCTAGGAATGTTTCTCAAATCTGCATCTGCAGAGACTACAAATGGTGCCCAAATTTGCAAGCCGACTAGTATAATTCATCAACTTCAGTTTTGCAGCTTCCAAACAGATTTCTTCTACGTCATCATCTTTTCTATTCTACTCTGAATATTACAGACATTTAACCTTTCAGCAATTGTCAAGATCACATAACCTTTAAGATCTGCTTTCAAGCCTTGTTCAGGTTGGAACCAGCACAAACACCTGGGGAGAAGCTGGATTCTCTTCTTTGGATGGTTGCAGGTAGGACACACATGGTTCTTTTACCTGCCAAGGTGTATCCAATATTTTAAACCACTGCAATCCAGAATATTGCTTTCATTTACACAACGCAAGCTCATCGTAATTTCAACATGCCGGTTGTTGAGAAAAAAAAACTCGCCCTGCCTACTTTTATTTTGTAATTTCTTAGTATCACTAGAGTGTGCTGCAGTTCACAAAATCTTACACAGCCACGAGCTCCTTAATGAGCCATCTTAGTTAGGCTATTCTGTATTTGAAATTCAGTCAAAGAATCTCCCACTGAACAGGCATCTATGTTTGAAGCAATGCATATTGATGAGAATTCATGAGTAGAACACAATTGTGCTCATCAGCCTGGAC